AGTATATATATATGTACATATATAGTATATATATATATATATATACACATATAGTTATATATATAACTATATATTTAATATATATGTATATATATAATATATATATGTATATATATAATATATATATATAATATGTATATATATAATATATATATATATATATATATATATATATATATATATATATATATATATATAATATATATATGTATATATATATAATATATATATATATATATATATATATATATATATATATATATATATATATATATATATATATATATATATATATATATATATATATATATATATATATATATATTATATAATAGTACATAATATTTCCCATAAAAATTTATCAAAACTTTAACATACAATGCAGAAAAAAATCTCAAATTTACTTTTACCCAAAAACATAAACTTACTTCAAAGGTGCTCTCATTGACTTTTAGATAATGATGTTGTTAGAAGACTTTAAAAACACATTTTTGCAATCTTATTTTAATTGTCAATTCAAATAATAACTTATAGCTTGCAACTAAATCAATCAAAATTTCCTGAGATTTGCCTAATTTATTTAATTTCCTCTTTTTAAAAAAATTTCAGTTTCATGGCTACCCTGATTGTTTATAAATAATATAAGTAAATTTATAAAATAGCATTATAGAAAAGCATATTATTATTTACATATTAAAAATCTAAATGCATTTTAAATGAGGGTATTAGTTTTAATTTGTCTATTGTATGGTTTAAAAATCTTTTCAAAATCATTTAGATCTTTTTGTACTGTACTGAACTCATTTTGTTCCAACACAAGTGTTAAGTTTTTAAAATTATCTAAATTTTTTACAATGCTCTAATTTTTCCTATAAATTTGCCGCTAACTTTCTTATCATTTTCTGTTGATTTGTTACTCTAATTACATCGGATGTGATGTTGTTATTTATTAAATTTCAAAACATTTTAAAAAACAATATGAAGTGAAAAAGCTTATAAGAATTTTTATTGCTGTTGTGTTATAAGAATTTTTATTGCTGTTTTATCACATTTTATGTGCAATAGCACATAAAATGTAATAAAAATAATACTTTTATTTTTACAATTTATAACAAAAATGTAACTAATTATTTATGTAATTATTTACATTTTTTATGTAACTAATTTTCTCAATAATTTTTCAAAAAAAAAATTCAATGTAACTAATTATTTCAATTATTTTCAAAAGGAAGAAAAAATTTTACTTAAAGATATAAAAGAAATACAAAAAAGACTTATAATATGTATTTATATTATGAACTTATAATGTATTACACTTAGTGTAATACATTATAAGTGTATTTATAATATTAACTTGAACGCATACTTGTTAAGTCTTAACATTTTCTGGCCTACAAGTATGTGCGCATGTTAGTTACAAAAAGATGTGACATTGCACGGAAAGTCTTTCTCTCTCTCTCTCTTTATGTATATATATATAATATATATATATATATATATATATATATATATATATATATATATATCTATATATATATATATATAATATATTCAACATCCTCAATTCCAACAAGGCTGGCGAGCAACCACTAATAGAGTTGGAAGTTACTGGAAGATAAAAGATGGATCTTATAAAGATAACAATGAATAGATGTATTAAAAGATTGCAAATTACATGAATCAGGAAAACAAGATAAAAGGAGCAAATTCAAAAGAGTTGATGTTCCAGGAAAAAAACTAGACACATAAGAGTTTTTAGAGCACTTAGGAGTCACAGTTAATAGATGAGACTTAATTGAATGACGAGTAACACAAGAATGAATTTTCAAAAGTGGCACAAGAGACGCTAGTTCTTTAGAGCAGTGCCTATCATAGCATTTATAGAAAAGATAGAGTATCTATAGAAAAGGTAGACTCTAATGCCTGAATTCAAGGTAAACTCCATGCCATCCTGAATCCAAGAAGTTAAATAAGAAGTATATTTGTCAGCAGGAAGACGAAAGATTTCAATATAAAGTAAACTGTGGAAAGAGTCAGCTTTAAAGCAGTCTTAAGAGCGAAGGAGATGAAGAATGAAGATATAGAGATATAGAACAAAAAAGAAAGGTAATAGAGTGAATATAGAACAAAAAGAAAGACGATAGAGTGAAGTGGTGCAAAACAAAAAGAATAGAGTGAATATAGAACAAAAAAGGAAAAATAATAATAACAGAAAAAGAAATAAAGATCAATAAGATCAATAAAAAAATAACAAAAAGAATAGAGTGAATATAGAACAAAAAAGGAAAAATAATAATAACAGAGTGAAGTAGTGCTAAACAAAAACACATAAAAATATAGTTTGTGGATTCAAACCTAATTTACTAACAAATTGTTAAATTCTTACTAATGTAAATGCCCAGTCTAAACATGTGATTATTGTAGTCTTTACAAATTAAAGTAAGATAACTATCAACACTATAATCAAAAGATGAGACAGCTAAACTCAAAATAGTCTCACAAAGAGCAACTAGGTCTGGTGAGCTTTGCAAAAGATAAAACTCAAAAGAAGAAAAGTTACTTCAAAACTTGGCAATGACAATGGTTTTTTGTCACTTATAGTTTTTAGTACTTTAGTCATTTTTAAATTAGTTAAAGAACTTGACTTAAAACATAGATAGTACTCAGTACACTATTTAATAGTCCAAGCAATTGCTTCATCGCTACTAATAAACCCTAAGTCATAACAAAGGGCTCCAAATGTGGCCTTAACAATAAACAACAAGTGTGAACAAAATGCAACAAAAGTACAAACAGGGACACCATTCATGCGCAACATGGCACTGTTAGTACTCTGATACTTAAAAGCTGTTAATGGAATCAGCCACTCTGAGAGCTATCATAGAGTTCAGGAAACCTGACTAACAGCCAGTCTCAGAACCATAAGACTGAGTTTTAGAGCTGTACCCTCATTAGGATATAATAGAATGAGTTACTAAGTCACAAAAACAGAAAAGCAAAACCCCAATATTGAGTCAAAAAGATGCAGCATTAAACATCCAAAACTGTAAACAATGTATTATAAATACATCAACGCCAGCCTAATAGAAGAAGAAATGTCTGTTTACTCCTTTTTTTATGTTTAATCAAATGTTTTGCATAAAAATTGTTTAAAAACTGAGGGAGTTGCTCCTTTTGTATTTTCTCTCAATAATTAGGCTGTAATGTTAAACAAATTTAGTTATATATATGCATTCATGTAAATCATAACAAATTTATTGAAAATATTTTTTAAAAGTATAAAACTTACTGATGGAGTCATTTACAACATTTGCATTTGCGACAAAAAGATTTGAAATAAATTGAAGCAATGACTGAGTTGTATTATAAAATGAAACAAAATTTAAAGATTTGATATTTACTTCACATAAAAATACTCCAATATTCCTTGCAATATTTGCAGCAACAACCTTTAAAAATTAAAACAATAATAAAATAACACATTTTTCACCTAGAAATAAATTTAAAAAATTAATTCAAAATATGATACATTTTACCTGAGTATTTAAAACCAATTCTGATGGATAATTTGATAATACTGAAAGACAGTCACTAATAAGCTTAACATCATTTAAATTAGAAAAAGTGATACGTGCAAGCATTCCTATCATTTCATTGCGAAGCTGTATAAAAAATTTTAATGGATTATTTTTATTTTACTTAGTTGTAGTAGTAGTAGAAATAGTAGTAGTGGTAGTAGTGGTAGTAGTAGTATTAGTAGTAGTAGTAGTAGTAGTATTAGTAGTAGTAGTAGTCGTAGTAGTCGTAGTTGTAGTAGTAGTCGTAATCACGCTAATATTGCAAATTTAGAGCCCTAATGTTACACTTTTTAGCCCTAATGTTACGTGTAATGTAACAATCAAGCTTTTTCACCCAAATATTGCAAAGTTACAGTCCTAATTTTACAAAAATGCCTTAATGTTGGATATTTTCAAGCCCTAATGTTGCAAATGGAATTGCCATAGTCTTACATTTTATTTTCATGTAACATATTTTGCCGCCATTAAACTTAAAGTTTCTCAATTTCGTTGCAGAGTTTAACTACAGAAATGTTATTTTGACAAATTGAACTTCAATACTAAAAAAATATATTTATGATAGTAAAGATATGCTATTAGTTATGAAAATAATTGATGAAACAATATTTTCATGACAAATAGCAGAAACGTAAATATTATAATGAAGTTGCTGTATTTACTGGAGTATTGTTTTTATTGGAAACACAAACCATGTTAAAGTTAATCAGGGAGTTTTAAAACTTAACTTTTATTAAAAAATTATAAATTAGTTGTTTAGAATCTAGTCTTTGATATCTTGAAATAATACATTATTCATTTTCATTATTTTCTTATGTTTCTTGGGTTGCATGTCGAATGTTGCTCTATTATTTTCTTCAAATATTAAGGTTTATATATATATATATATATATATATATATATATATATATATATATATATATATATATATATATATATATATATATATATACATATATACATATACATATATATATATATATATATATATATATATATATATATATATATATATATATATATATATATATATATATATATACATATATACATATATATATACATATATATACATATATATATGTATATTAGGGTGTATATTGTGGCATATTTTTATAAGCATTTGCTCACTTTTTTTTTATTAGAAAAAGAAGAAAACGAAGAATAATGAATGAAGAGGTTGCTGCCCCATCCCAAAACCCTTAGGCTATATAGCAGTACTATATAATGTATGTAAATATATAATATATGTATATATATATATAATATATATTATATATATATATATATACATATATATATATATATATATATATATATATATATATATATATATATATATATATATATATATATATATATATATATATATATATGTATATTAAGGTGTCCCAAAAAATAACTTTTTTAAAAATAATCTGCTCTCACCCCCTAAATGTGTTCTATCTAATACAAAAACACTAAGTTTAAATTTTTTTTCAATAAAAAATAATTTAAAGGGTCCCTCAAGACCCTCGAATATTTAATGGGTCCCTAATATTTTCAAAAAAAAAGTTTTTTTAAAAATTATGTCAACCTGGTACTCAAATGAACCGAAATTATATAAAAATTTCAAAAATAATGTTCATTTCGGAAAAAACGATACCTACTTAAACAATACTTTTTTTTTTTAACGAAATCGGCAATTTTTTTACAGAAAATTGTTTTTTGTTTTGGCAAATATTGTATATTTTAAGGAAAATATTGTTACGTATCGTTTTTTCCGCCTTAATAATGCCTTTAAATATAAGGAAATGCCAATACATTTTTGCAAAATATTTTTATGTCAAGCCCATCTTATTATGGCTATAACTATAGGTCCAAGGATAGTTATAGGTTCATGCCTACATATATTGACTTTTAGATGTAGTAAAAATTTACATGCATTAAATTTCTCTTTATCAATTTTTTGTTATCAAGTTACTCTATTAGTGGTTGCTGAAGGACATGTCAAATGAGAATGATTTTTAATTGATGACAGTAATAGCTCCTTTGATTAGCAACCATAGTAATATTTGTAGAAAAAAAAAAGAGATGCAACTTTACGATGATGGAAAAAAGGCTCAACCCTAACAGATAGAGTGATTCCAACTGCATTTACAATGTGTTTGTCATTGCCTAGAAAAGAAAGCATTATTAGAAGAACCAGCCCAAATATGACAACATATAAAATAATCTTAAATATTCCATACAGAGACAAATAAGCAGATGCCAATTTAACAGTTGATTAACCATAGCAGATGCCAATTTAGCAATTGATTGTATATATGGAATAAATGGTAACAACAACAGATAATCTAGGATTATCTGTTGTTGAGAATAATGTAGTTAGCATGATGACATCATTACAACAGGAAATCGAATCTAAATATAAAATAAAACAAGATATTTTTTTTTTAAATGATAAAACTGTAACAATAGATGTAGTATTCATTCACAACACTTCTGTACTTATTCTTAGTATTATAATGAAAAGAAACTTGGATCTTCACTCCAGTATGGTATGTGTATCCATGGATGGAGGTCAAAGATTTCTATAAGTAAATGTAAATGTTTTTGATAAGACCAATAAAAATGAAACATAAATTGACAGTAGAGTTGAAAAGCGTTTTTTTCTTGCTGTTGTTGACAATGTTTCTGATAACAACAGAAACCTGCAGTAAATCTTGAGTAGATTAAATCTAGGTTTAATTATTCAACTAGTAACCAGAAACGAGCTAGAAAAGATTCATGTCAAAAGATTTATTGCTTCCAAACTATAATTTATAAAGGAAGGCAAGTCCTATGTTGAGAATATTTCTGAGCTAATATTTTATTAGTTTATAAATTTGGAAAGTTCTTCAATAGTACTGTTTGGTTTTAACTAGATTTTGTCTATTTTTTTGATTTAACCTGCCTAAAGTAATAATTAGAAATTAAATATGAGCTAGTTTTTCTACATATAATTATGTAATAATTATGTTAACCTTCAATATACATACATTTACTTGAAAATTGTATTAATAAATGTAATTTTTTTATTAAATTTTTATGAATTAAACTTTAATACCTTTTTATGAACTAAACTTTAAAAAATTTGTTTAGCATTAACTAATAATAAAAGTTTTAAATAAAATGGTCGCACTCAAAAAAATGAAAAAAAGAAGTCTGAGAAGAGAAAGTACGGCGTGTCAACAAATCCAAGGAGGCTGATGTTTCTCCTAAAGTACACAATCAATGAGGTTCCATTAAACCAACTGGCAACCATCAATTATATTCAATTTAAAATCATCAATTATAAAATTTAAAAATGTTTTATGCAATATTTAATCTAATATCCCCACCCCTAACTGCTTAAAATAAGACACAATAAAGCAAAAATTTATGTAAGATCAAAAAAAATGATAAATACTTGTCTATTTTTATTTAAGATCAATAAGATTTCAGTATACAAAGTTGATAGTTGCCTGCCCTCAGAAGCACGAGAACACAAATCTGATCTGTTAAGATCAGTCCCCTGTTCTTATGCTTCTGAGGTCAGACAACCATCAACATAGAATTGTTGCCTCCGCTGTAATAGATGCTTTGAAGAAAGCAGGGTTTCAAGATATTATTATAAGGGGATCCATGGATCTGGGGATGTCAGAGATAAAATACTGAATCTCCATAATAAGTACATAAATCTCAAATTAATGAACTTAAACTCTAGCATCATCTCAAATTATTGAATTGAAACTCTAGCATCATCTCAAATTATTGAATTGAAACTCTAGCATCATCTCAAATTATTGAATTGAAACTCTAGCATCATCTCAAATTATTAAATTGAAACTCTAGCATCATCTCAAATTATTAAATTGAAACTCTAGCATCATCTCAAATTATTGAATTGAAACTCTAGCATCATCTCAAATTATTGAATTGAAACTCTAGCATCATCTCAAATTATTGAATTGAAACTCTAGCATCATCTCAAATTATTGAATTGAAACTCTAGCATCATCTCAAATTATTGAATTGAAACTCTAGCGATGGCAACTTTTCTAATAAACATAATAAGTTTTTAGAGAGCAATTTTTTAAAGGCTCTTTGATATTTCATTGGCAATTTTTGAACAAAAAGTAAATCAGGATCCTTTTTCATTCTAAGAATGCCAAAAAGGAGGATATAAAATTCTATCTAGATCAAAAGAAGAGTGAAACATGTATATTACAGAAGAATTGGATGAAGTATTACAAAATTCAGTTAAAAGTTAAAGTATTTGGCTCAAGAGGATGGAGGAAGCAAGAAGTAAAAGTAGTATCACAATTCATGCAGTAAAATCCAACAAACTTGAGGCTTCTTTTTATTCATCTAGAGTTGATTCTGAATCGGAACTTAGTTTAGATTCTTCAGATGATGAAAATTTACCTAATAGATTCAGCCATTCTACTAAATCTAAGATAATGATAAGTATATGTGATCTGAAGATCTGGTAGACTGTACTGCTGCAGTTTCTGTCTGATACTGAGTAGGTATATGCCCACAAACTTTATTATTAGCTGCTATTTGCAATAAAGCTGGTGTAAATCTAGAAGATACTAATCGATCAAGAAGTACAGTCCATAGAAAAAGAATCAAGAAGATTGAGATATCAATAGATGAGCTCAGGCAAATAGTTATAACTACTCTAAAGGGAAAAAAGCTACATGTTCATTTTGATGGAAAAAGGAAAAAACAGATTGAAGAAGATCTAGTAATAACTGTTTCTGTAGAAAGAATAGCAGTCAGTGTTATATCTCCTGATATGGATAACACAGATAAAATTCTGCTATGTGCTGTTCAGTCACCAAGTTCTAAAGGTAGTAACCAGGCTGAAGCAATTTGAATCTGCTAGAATACAAGTCATTGTAGATCAAATATTTGCTGTTTGCTGTGACACTACTGCATTAATTACTGGAATACACTCTGGAGTTGTTGTTATCCTTAGCTCTATTCTTAATATTCAATTTATTAGTTTCTCTGTAGTAGACATATGCTAGAAATACACATATCACACTTCACAGAGGCTTTGACTAGAGAGAAGACAA